TAAGGAGTGTTATTTCCAAATGAAATCAAAATAAAAGTGGAAATGCTTTCAGATCAGGTTTTCCTTCTGAGAAATGGTTCTTTTGGAAAAAAAATAAAAATGTAAAATAAAAATAGAAACACTCATCCTCAACTAAATGTAGCCAAAGTAATGTAATAACCACTATTTATAGAGCACATATCTATTTAAACCAGTTTTTCTAGGCCAAAGGAAACATCTAAGTTATAGACTTGCAAAAAGAAGGAATAATTGAAAAAAGAGAAAGAACACAAGTTAGAGCAATTCAATCCCCTCCATTGGTTTTTATCAAGAACTGGGGAAATCTGCTTCCGCTGAGGCAGTGGGAATGACCCCAAGGGATGAAAGCAAGAAGAAATGGCAAGAAAGCAGCCTATGGGACCGCAGAGACAGCTTTCACTTTCCCCAAATCAAGTACACAACCATAAAGTCCTGCTGTTTCACTTCCAGGTCAAAGTTGGCAATTCCTAGGTAACTCTAAACAAACATAAAGTGACAGAGCATCCTCTGCAATAGTCTCATCCCGTCCGAACCAGTAACTTAAAGTCATTATGTTGCAATTGATCATTTTATTTTCCAATCAGCCAACAGTCCCAACTTATGGCTTTCTTCCCTTTTTACGCAATGACTGTCCTTCTCCAGAGAAAGCGACGAATCTGCCTCCAGCTTCATCCTAGGTGTGAAGATAAAATACTATTTCAGAAACTTCTTGGAGGTTTACTTAAAAAGCTTTATTCTGCTGACTCATTACCATCCACCATTTTCCTTACTTCCACATTATTTATAATAAGAAATCTCTCTGAAATATAGATACAAATCATAACCAACTGAATTGAAAACACAACCACACAATCACAACTATGTGTTTACCACAGCCTTTATTCTCAGGTTGAATGTATATCCTTTTGCAGAAGCATCACATTTTCAATGTAAAAATATAAAATACACCCCCAAAAGAAAAATCACCTATAACTCCACTACCCCAAAAAGAACACTTCCAGTCACTTTCCTGTATAAGGTTACATAAATTATTTTCGTACATAATTCCCCCATCTCAAGTCAATGAATTTCTTATCATCCTAAAGGCTACAGAGAATTCCATCATGTTGGAGAGGCAGTCTTCTACCATGGGATGTTACTTTCAGGTTTGCAGTATTTTATTTTATTTTTATTTTTATATTTTTTTAAGATTTTATTGGGGAATCAGGGAAGGGGAACAGTGTTGGGGAATCAGGGAAGGGGAACAGACAAGTTGCTGTCCTTTTTGTTCTTCAGTCTAGTTGTGGAGGACGTCGCTTCACTGGCCCATGTTGGTATTATCATTACACTTTTCCCAGATGAGGCAGTCGCTCGCTGGCCATTGGACCACTGCTCACGGTGGCTCACGGTGGCTCACGGCAGCTCACGCCAGTTGCTGGCCAGCCCCACTGCAGCCTACGCCTTTGCCGGCCACTCACAGCAGCCCAGCTCCAAGTCGAGCTGTTGTTCATCTTAGCTGTAGAGGGCGCAGAGGCATCACTGGCCCTAATGTGGCATCCGAATGGGGACCCTGTTGCTGCTGCTCAGAGCTTGTGTCCCAAGCCAACTCTTAACTAACGCGCCACTCGGCCAGCTCAGGTTTGCAGTATTTTAAATTGCTGTGGTGAGCAGCTTAATGTATTTACACAGTCTGATTTTTCCTTGAAGTTAAATTCCTCAATAAAAGGATGCATGTTTTTAAGGCTTTTAATATATGGTGACTCTCCAGCTCTCAGAAACATTCTACCAAGCTATTCTCCTACCAGCAGAAAAGACAGATTGTTTTTTCTAAACCCTCAGAAACAGCAGATATCTTTCACATGCGTGTACTGCTTGCTAATCAGTCAAAGGTGTTACCTATAGAAGATAATTCTGAGCTCCCCACTACATACCCCTGTAACCTAGCCCCTCGCCTAATGCAGCTGGTGTACCTCTGGTGGGGCCTGTACAGGGTTACGTGGTAGTGACCATGTAAATGCAAGTCACAGCTGAGCCATCCAGTTGTCCTTTCCTGCAGAGCCTTCAGTTTGTCCTGCTGTCCAAAACAGTGTCTGCCTTTTCTCTTCTGCATACATTTAATCACAGCAGGAACCTCGCCAATTTTATCAGCTTGAGGAAGGTGTGAATCCTGGAACCTTCAAGCTGCCATTCCTGGACTAGCCATTTTCTCCATGTTGCACATGGCCATGAGGACTCCTGTTTCCTAGATCTAAGGCTTTCTTATTTCTACCTTATTCTTTAACTTTAGAGGGATATATCCTCCAGCAGCTTCCTAAGAAAAGCTCATGAGGACTATGTTTTTGTGAGATTCCACATGTCCAAAAGTACCTTGTTTCTACTCTCTCATGTTTCACTGATAAAGCAGTTGGTGTTAGGCTGCTCAGGCTGCCGTAACAAAGTACCACAGACTGGGGCTGGCTGAGTGGCTCAGTTGGTTAAGAGTTGGCTTAAGAGCATGAGCTCTGAGCAACAGGGCTGCCGGTTTGATTCCCACATGGGCCAGTGATGCCGTGCCGGAGCTGAGCTGTCACTGAGCTGACAACAGGTGGCAGGATGGCTCAGCTGATGTAACAAGATTGCCTATTCGATGGTGGGCTTTGCCCATCCACAACTAAGACTGAACTTGGCACCTTGAGCTGAGCTGCCGCCTGGATGGCTCAGTGGACAGAGTGTGCTCTCTTAACAACAAGGCTGCTGGTTCGACTCCCACATGGGATGGTGGCTATGCCCACTTGCAACTAAGATTGAACACAGCACCTTGAGCTTAGAGGCCACAAGCTGCCAATGGGAAGCCAGATGGCGACTGGTGCCCTCCATAACGAAGATTGAAGAACAACAACTTGGCTGGTCCCTCTCCCCAATTCTCCAACACTGTTCCCCTCCCCCTATTCCACAATAAAATCTTTTTTAAAAAAAGTACCACAGACTGGCAGGCTCAAACAAGATATCTTTTCTCTCTGTTCTGGAGGCTAGATGTCCTAGATCAAGGTGTTGACAGGTTTGGTTTCTCCTGAGGCCTCTCTCCTTGGCTTGCAGATGGCTACCTTCTTACTGTGTCCTCACATGGTTTGTCCTCTATGCACCCAAGTTTCCTCTTCTATAAGGGTACCAGTCAGATTGGATCAGGGGCCACCCTGATGGCCTCACTTTCACTTATTCACCTCTGTAAAGGCCTTATTTCCAAATACAGTCATATTCTGAGGTACTAGGAGTTAGGGCTTCAACACAGGAATTGGGAGAAGACACAATTCAGCCCATAAAAGTTGGGTACAGAATTGAAAGTTTCTTCTCAGAATTTTGAAGACACGGCTCCACTATCTCCTAGCTTCCTGTGTCCTGCTAAGGTTATTCCATTCTTGATCCGTAGAGCCTCCTTCCTCCTTCTGGAAGCTTTAGGATCTTTTCTTTGCCTCAATGTGGGGCTGTTTTCATTCACCATGCTGGACACTCAGTGGGCCTTCAACCTGCAAATTTGTGCCCTTGAGTTCGGAGCAATCATTTTCCTGACGGCTTCTGCCTTTGGTTTCTCTAATCTCTTTTCAGAGCTCTTATAATTTGGATGTCAGCACTGGAAACTTTCTGACGGGTGAGCTAGCTGGGACCTTCCCTGGAGCTTGTGAGGTTGTCCAGAAAAAGCCCTTCCAACTGCAACGAGCAAGCCCAGCAGCCAGTGTCTGGGGGCCTAAGCAGGGGAAGAAACCAAGTGTGGCAACATTCAGGATGCCAACTGCCACTCGTTCCTTCTTTTAGTTTTGTCCTGCTATCCACTGTGCTGATGACCCCAATCTATGGACTTTCCCTGAGGCCTTTTCTGGGGTGGTGGAGATGCAGCCCCAGCAGGGTAAGGGGAAGGTGGTGTTGCAGTTCTAACTGCTTTGTTACACACAGTCTCTTTAACCCCCCATTTCCAGAGGTGACCTTTGAGCTCTACTACCTAAACCAAGCTGCCTCTGGACTTCCCAGCAGCCAGCTCAGGATGCAGCTTTCCCTAATCTATTAGGTCAGTTACCACTTGTCCTTCTGCTTGAGAGCTTCCAAAGCTTTGTTGCAGTTGCCACATCTCCTCTTCATTGTTTTTATTACCTTGTACCAAAGCTTTAGTGGGGTTTCAGGATGAAGCAGAGCTAATTATGTGCCTTCAATCCCATCTTCAGTCATACATTTCTTCTTAAATATTTATGGATAAAACAGCTCCAGCTGTGCCTGTCAGCCTTCCCTTCCCTTTCCTATATTTCCAACAGTAGGGTCACGAGTCAGCCTGGAGGGCACCCACTGCTGAGGCCTCTAAGCCTGAGTCAGCAAGACTTGCCTAGAGCTAGCAAAGGCCTGGAAAGGGCTTCAAGGAAGACTCAGAGGGTGAGGTCTGATCGGAGACCACATTTGCACCTTAGAGCCTGGAAAGTCCCCAACACCGTGTTGAGAACATTAGGAGGGGCTGTGAGTGGGGTCAGGGTGTGCAGACTGCGTAGTGGTCTCTACCCCCAACCACCTAAAGGCTACAGGGGAGGAGTTCAGTGGTCAGAAGGGGGTCTGTGATGGACCTGTAGCCAGAAACTGGCCAGTGACTAGTCCCATGTAGCAGCCTACCCTATATGTGCTCACAGCACATCTGCTCTCTGCTACCCTTAGGCCCCAAGAGACTGTGCCTGTAAGAAAAGGAACCAGGGAAGTGGAAGGTCTGAAGTATTGGTGTTCTAGAAATACACAACACACACAGCCATAGTTGCTGGGTGGGGTGAGCAATCTGCAGTAGCGTGTGCTGGGTTTTCTGAACCACATTCCAGCACCTGGAAGAAGTGCCCAGGTGGTGGAACCTCCTCTTTGCCAACACCTCCTGCCCCCACCTACACCCCTCCCTTTCTGTCACGTGGGAACTCCAGGGCTGAGGGAGGCCGCTCTCCTCAGGTCTCAGTGGAAGCCATTTTTGGAGTATGGTGGCACTGAAGCAGCCATGCAGCTGTCAGGAGCTCTGGATCTCAGCCTGGGCACCCTGACCTCCACACACCTTCACGCTCACAGTAGCCACCTAATGGAACTGTCCTGCGGATTAAACAACTAAATATAAAGCACTCAGCATGGGTCCTGACACGTGGCAAGAGCTGTTGTGCTGATAACCACCATAAGGTGAAGCCAGCGCTGCGGCCTGCAAGCCCCCCCCCCCCCCCCCAGCCTCAACAGGACAACCTGGCCACCAGGGGAAGGAGGGCCCCATGAATGGAGAAAAATATGACAGAAACACCCTGATTCAGAATGGAAAGAATTCCACCAGTTATCACTAGAAAACAAAACTTCTCATTACCCATGAAATATACTCACCTCTTCAACTTTTTTGACCAATGGACGTGAATTTCTGATGAAAGTAATCTTACCAAGTTTAAATTCATAATTGGGAATTCCTCTGCAAAGAACACAGAAGAGGAGAAACATTAATTCCAGGAGAAAAAGACTAAAGTTCACTTTTACAATCACGAGTAAGGTAAGCCAAAGAGATGACGACTGTTCTCTTGGCGACTCTCATTCTGGGGTATGCGGCTATACCCCACCCTGGCTCTGGGCCAGCCCTTTGGTGCTCCCCAGCATCCCTCCAGGAGGGAACCAGAAGGGGACTGTAGACTTGAAGCCTGGTCTGCAATGAGGGGTCCTCTGGAGGCTTGGGAGGCCCTCTCCATCTCTGCCCTCCAGACTCACGGATTACCCTGTAAGGGCTACACTTGTATTAAACTCATTTCACTCCTTCAGAGTGGGTAAAAATCCCATGTCCAGTCTTCTCCTTCTGCTCTAAAACAGAGTAGCCAAGTGACATATCTCATCACTGCCACGACAGCCACCAGAGCAGGGAATCTGCTCTGTGTCCCTGGACCAAACAACAGAAACATATCTCAGTGAGGCAGCTCCTGCCTCCTGTTTGAGGGAAGTTGAGATATTACTTGATTAAGTCACAAAACAGGAAAACAGACATATTACTAGATAGGAACCAGAAAGGTTTTAAGTAGGACAGAGATCTGATCAGGTGCCACCTGGGCAGGTAGAGGCTGGACTGCATGGTTCTGGATGGGGAGAAGACACTGATACACTTTCACTGGGAAACACTGAACTCCACATCATGCTCCTGGTCCCCAAGGAGAGCAAGCAGTGGGGGCATTCATTCACCCCATCAACTTCCTTGATCTAGGCTTTGTCTCTAGAGCCGGAATAGAGTGAGGGTGCTCACCCCAGAGGTCTAGAGTAGACCTTCCCTGGACAATGATAAAGCATCAGGCTGAAGTAGAGCAGGGCAGACTCACCTTTTAATGTCTCCAGGCTTGATTGGGGAGGGGCTAGGCTCTACACCTTTCTTCTTTCCATCCAGCCTATTCCCAGAGCCGGAGAAGGCCTAGGTAGGCAAACAGGAGAGTGCGCATGCACTGAGCCCCGAGAGCGAGAGTGAGCACATGGATGCCCTTTGCTGACACCACTGCAGGCATATGTACAGGGGGGCGCCACCAAATCCCCCTTAAGAATGAAGCGCTCACTCCTCAGCTGCTGAAGTGTGGGCAGCTGAGAACTCTCCGCCCAGCCCCTCAGGACTGCTGTGAGCTGAAAGGAGCCTCCTGGCCCAAGAGTAGCCACCCCCAGTGACAGCCAGTAACCAATGACAAGCTGAAAGGTCTGGCCTTAGCTTCTGCAGGGTCCGCCCCCCCCCCACCACCCAGTTTGGGACCCTGTGGATGGGCGAAGGCCTCTGTTGCAACTGCCCCAGAGCTCAGCTTTCCAGTCCTGCCTCTTATGTCGTCTCCCAGTGCCCTGGTGCCCTCACACTAGCCATCTTTACTTTTTTCCCAGGGAGCCTGGCTGGCAGCAATGCTGAAGGGTCGTGTTGCAATTTATTTTCAAACAATGCAGGCAAAGAAAAAGAGGACATGGTCTCAGATATAAAGCAAACGTGGTCACATGTGGTAAATTTAAGTGAAGAGTATATGTGTGCCCACTGTATTATTTTAACTTTTTGGTAGGTTAGAATTTTAAAGAAAAAAAAGTTGCAGCCGTCTTAAAGTTAGGGGCTGGCCAAGTGGCGCGTTGGTTAAGAGTTGGCTTGGGATGCCAGCTTTGAGCAGCAGGGCCCTGGTTCTGATGCCACATGAGGGCCAGTGACGCTGTGCCCGTTACAGCTAAGATGGTGAACAACAGCTCAACCTGGAGTTGGGCTGCCGTGAGTGGCTGTCCAATGGCCGGTGAGCGACTGCCTCACCTGGGAAGAGTGCAATGATAATACCAACATGGGCCAGTGAAGCGATGTCCTCCACAACTAGACTGAAGAACAAAAGGACAACAACTTGTCTGTTCCCCTCCCCCAATTCCCCAATAAAATCTTCAATAAAAAAATCTTCAATAAAAAAAGAGTTGTTAGGATTCCAGGACAAAATGGATGTAAAGTGCCATGTAACTGACAAAGTGGCAGATATGTTTGTGCACAGATACCCAGAGGCCCAATGCCTGCTGAGGTCCATGGAGTGTTACAGAGGGTGGCTGGCAGAAGCAGATGGCACAGCAGGAGCACAGGAAGTAAAACACATGGCCTGGTACTCACACGGAAGCCCAGCTCTCCAGCATAGCCACTGTGGTCAGTTTCGCCTTCCTGACAGGAGACAGAAAAACAGGAGATGATCTTCTCAGCAGGGACACCCCGACTTTTCCCTTGGGCCCCTCATTTATATTGCTCTCCCTGCACTGAAACAGCTGGACACACCGTCTCCCGAAGTTAAGACTGGAAGAGCAGCAGGGAACATGGATGCATCTACACCAGCAGGGGCCAAACACAGGCCAGCTATCAGGACAGACCCAGGACACATTCCCAGAAGCCATTACCAATGAGGGCAAACATGCACACAGAGAGGAGAGGGATGCTGGAAAAACCACTTACAGTTGACTCCTCATGCTGGACTTGTCTCTCGGGTTCCTTGTAGCCCAGCGGAGCATCAAAGTCCACCTGAGTTCCCAAGACGAAAGGTCAAATTGTGAGACATGGTGGCACTTAGGCTCCCATAGCTCTTCTGTTTTTAATTAAGACAACTGTAGATTCACATGCAGTTGTAGGAAATAACACAGAAGGATGTCCTGTACTTTCCCAATGATGACATTTACAAAATTCTGGTAGAGTATCACCACCAGGATATCGACATCTATACTAGTCAGAATCCCTCAGTTTTACACGAACTCACTTGTGTTTGTGTGTATGGGTGTGTAAGTTCGCACAATTTTATCACCAGTGTTAAGTCTGTAAATCCATGCCTACAGTCAAGATACTGAACAGTTCCAACAGCACAGGATCTCTCATATCCCTCATGTGGTCCTTCTCTTCCAAGGCCTCTCTATCACCTGTAGCCCCTGGCAACCACTATTCTATCCTCGCTTTCTGAAGTTTTGTCATTCAAGAATGTTATAAAAATGGAACCCAACAGTATGTAACCTTTTGGGATTGACCCTTTCGGCTCAGCATCATTTTCTGGAAAGCCACTAGGCTGTTGTGTATCCCAATAGTTCCTTCCTACTCAGGAGCTGAGTAGACTTCCTTAGTGTTTTGTGTTTGTTTTTTTTTTAACTGAGCTTCCTTAATTTTTTAGAAGTTTCACTTCTTGGCAGGCCTGAGATGCCGAAGGATTTAGCCATCCATCTCAGAACTGGCGGCAACTCTGCCATCCCCACCGGCCCTGAGATGGATCACAAGGTCAGCCCCTCATTATGTTCTGGCAGCATTTTCCTTCTCTTTCACCCAAATAGTTCCAGGGGCTGTGTTATAGTGACATCCTCCTGAGACAATGGCCTACAGAGGCCATCGGATGCCCAGCTTCCCCAGGCCCAAGCCCACTGTAAGCAGCAAAACCACTCACGTTCATGTCACACTCGATGATGGACACAGCCTTGTCAGGCTTGGTCTCCATCACCCGCAGTTCATAGATCTGTGGGAAGAACAAGGAATCATCTGGATGGTTTTGTGGCAGCATTGTGGCTATAAATGTTCATGTTACTATGGCTCCCTACCCTGCTCCCGCAGACTCATCATTCACCTCCATGACACCCTCCTCAGCCACACCTCTTGCTGTGACAATGCGGCGATGGGGGTGAACTGCTTTGATGCCTGCCCCCAAATCAACAGAGGCTGCTCCTCAAAAGCGGTTCAAATCAGACAAGGTAGTTATGGATCAAATTGCAAAAGATACTCATAGCCTTTATCCCAGAAAGTACACTTCTAGGAATTTATTCTAAGTAAATTATTAGCTAAATACCCAAAGAGAAAATTCTAAGAATACTCATTCCAATATTGCTAATAATAGTATATACCCCAAAAGCTTATCAATAGTTTGGTTAAATGAATGATATTCATATATAAATTATAGTCACCAGTGGAATACAATACGGCCAATAGAAGTTAAAAAACCATTAATGTTGCTGTGTGTCTAGGTTGATCTCATATATGTAAAAACATACATTAAAAACACCCAGAGGATAGGAACTAAAAGTGACTGAATTTACTTTTTTCGTCATCATTTTAGGTTCTTTCTTTTTACCTAGAGTATATCTTGTTTTAATAATAAACAGTCCTGGGCCGGCCGAGTGGCGCGATGGTTAAGAACTGGCTTGGGACACAAGAGGACCCCGGTTCGGATCCCACATATGAGGGCCAG